AAACCAAAATGGAACAGTGGTAAGCGTCTTGATTGATAGATACATATGCATGTCCAATCTTAACTTATCCCTCCTTTGCATTTTCACCAAGTAACTTGCAAAAAACCGTTGAAGATATATGGAAGAGAGATTTGACAACCTTCACTTTTCCAATATACGCCTTGTTATGAACGACCATGGTAAAAACATGAGAAAAATGTTGTGTCAGAAAAAAAGAAACATATTATTCATCCTGCACTAACTTTTGTGTAATCTTCACCGGCAGCTTTCACAATTTGGCATTCCTTGTCTTTAGTCATATTGTTTATCCACGTCTAAAAAAGCCATATTGCATAAGTTTCAAAAAGTTCTAGGAGAAAAAGAAACTAAGGCACTTACCTGCTTGAAAGCCTTTCCATATTCCTTTGATGATGTTTCAAGCGTAAATTCTGAGGAGAAAATGTTGCAAAGCTTAGCACCATAACCGTTACGACCACCAGTTACCTAAGAGGGACATGTTTCGAAACTAACCAGATTTCATATTACGGAAGCTCACCTTTCTTTGGCTATCATCGTAATTAGAAGATGTTAGAAGAGTTCCAAAAATCATTTCCGGAACATACATATTTTCCACTTTGTGGTGAACAACGGGTATACCTTTGCCGTTGTTAAAAATTGAGATCTGGTTTTTATCTCTAGAAAGTGATTTTTCCTATCTTTTTATATAAATTAAGAAAATCACCCACTTTTCAATATTGATTTTTATACAGTTCATCTTGGGATCACGTTGCTTGTTATCGGCAGCATTCACAAGTATTTCATCAAAAATTTTGTACAATCCTGGCACATACTGGATATCTTTCATTACGAGCTTTTCAGTCTCCAAGTCATAGACCCACATTGGCTAAACATAACTTTAGGAAACTAGAGGGCTGATTCGTTGGCTTAAAACTTACAGTCTTCTCAGTGTATTCTACAGATCCGATATATGTATCAGGACGGAGAAGAATGTGTTCCAGCTGAGATTTCTTCTGGTAGATATCTTCAATCGCAAGTTTCTTGCCAGTCTTAGGCGCTTGAT